TCACACACGGGGGAAGTCACACGTAAGATAATCACAGATAAGATATCATGTTTAAAAAGAAATCCAGAGTGGCGATAGAAAACAAAGCCTTATACACGCGATGCAAGTGCTCTGCCACTGAACTGAACTCCTGAGAGGCACTTTTGCCTGCGGCTCTTTAATTGTGTTAGGAAGAGTGACGTCTACACAGTGTACAATTTAAATCAGATGCGAGGAGAATTCAGAACATGAGCCTCTGCTTTATCGTTTACTGAGCTTTCGATGAACGTCTAAGGGTTATCTTCTATATAATCTTTTCTTCTACATTCATAGGTTTAAGGCTAAAGACTAAAAATCATTTTTATTTTCTTGCCAGCTGGTAGTAATTCTGCACTGACAGGGAAGATGAGTATTTTATCTATTGCAATTTGTGTGCTGTTTTTGAAAAGTTCCAGAAATGAAGTTCCAGAAATGAACACTTACATTAAACTTAAGGCAGATGCCTGCTGCTGTCCATAATGATAAACTCTACCATGAAGAGAGAAAGAAAGGCACTGGCAGGATTTGAATTCAGGTTCACCAGTTTACTAGACAGGCACTTTAACCAGCTAAGCTGTGGCACTGGTGGAGGCCTGCCCTTTTACAGCCACTTGGACACACCACTCTGAGACTCCTGCGTTCTGTTTGCGCTGAGCCTGTTCGCTGAGCAAGTGACGAGAAATGGCTTTTATCTGGTAATTTCATGTCCAAGGAACTCAATATGCTTTTTATGTTCAACAGGATGTCCACTACAGCCGGCACTACAGCCGGCACTGAGGCGCAGCAGAGGCTCTGTGGTTTGACATCTTCCAAGGAAAATGTTGAAATCGTAGGTGGAAGATAAAAATTGTCCTTGAGTAGAGCCGAGTGGTTTCTCCCCATGTTTGCATTAGTTTCCTTCAGGTGGTCTAGTTTCTTGCCAGCAGCCATATCACTCTGCAACTCACAACTGACAAACCCAATGAAGCTAAATAAGTGTGTGCTTGGCCAGTACATGGATGGGAGACCTCCTGGGGTGGGAAAAAAAAACTGGTTGCTGCTGGAAGTGGTGTTATTGGGACCAGCAGGGGGTGCTAATACCCCAGTATAGTGATGGGGACACTATACTGTAAACTGGCTCTGTCCTTCAGGTAAGATGTAAAACTGAGGTCCTGACTTTGTGGCCATTAAAAATGCTGGGACCTCTTTCAAAAAGAGTAGAGGATATTATTGAGGACTAACTGTCCCTCTGTTCTACAAAGATGTGTCAAATTTCCCATTGTCCTTAACCAATCATGGCCTCCTAATAATCCCCATCTATGATTTGGCTTCATTACTCTTCTCTCTTTCTCACTAATAGCTGATGTGTGGTGAGTGTTCTTGTGCACTATGGCTGTGGTCCCATCATCCAGGTGGGGTTCCACATTGGTGGTGGTTGAGGGGAGTCCCCCTTACCTGTATAGTGCTTTGAGTGGAGTGTCCAGAAAAGTGCTATATAAGTACAAGCAATTATTAATTATTTTTTTTACCACAGTCCAAAAACATTCTGATATTATTTTATCAAGTTAGTTTAAAAAGGCCTGACCCTTTATGATCATGAGTTTTACAATGTAAGTCATTCCTGTTTATAGTTTAAGCTTTCCTGTGTTCCAGTTATTTAAATCCAGATGCTTTTGTAACTCTCTGTAGGTTTTGGATTAGTGATGCTGTACAGTGTTTTCTTGCAGGACCCATGATTTCTCTTGATTTGTAGGGAAATTTAAATAACATTTAGGTTGTATCATGTTGTGTCTATCTTTGTGTACAGTTTTTGTCCTTTGTGTGGATCTAGTGATACTTATGATTTGAAACAAACAAGTAACTTTCTTCTTTCTTTTGATTTTATCATTGCGAGTGACCAAGGGCTCATTAATTTTTAATGATACCTTTAATGTCATACATTAGAAATTAGCATATCAAAACCAAAGATTATTGCAAAGCAAAACTTTAATAAAACGTATTAAAAAATATTCCCATCAAAAGTGGTACATTCAGAACTGTACATCAATCAACAATTTTATTTCCTATATCTGGAACATCAAAAGGTATTAAAAGAAAGGCTGAGCAGAAATGGAATGTTCAAGTCTCAATTTTGCAAAACACAAGCTGCAGGACAGTGTGGAAACAGTGGAGTGAAGTGGACTCAGGTCACAGACAGTGTCAGTGTGGAAACAGTGGAGTGAAGTGGACTCAAGTCACAGACAGTCTCAGTGCTCAGAGTTGTTCTAAGACTGCGTGACTCTGTTGGTGAAGCTCTTCTGTGTCTAGACCTGCAGGAGGAGTTTCTCCCAGACAGCCCTGTCAGTCTCACAGCACCCATCCTCTCCCTGAGACTCATCCCCAACATCATCGTAGTCAGTCCTGTCAGGGGCAGGGGCTCCTTCTTCAGAGGGCAGTGTGGGCAGGACCCTGTCCACTCCAGGGCCAGCGTGGGGGACACCTGACAGAGAGACACAGACTCATATTTTTAAAAATGACTCAGTTATTAACATAATATTGATACAAATAAGTATTATGAAAATTGTGAATATCAGAAATGACTGAGTAGATAAATTAATAATTAAATCATAAAGTCATAATCATAAGCCCCAAACTTGTAAAGATTTTGCCAAATATATTCCCAATAGTTAAATATTTGTTATTAATCACACAACACACACGAAATTACACACAACAAACATACAGCACACAATTACAAATTTGCTGACAAGGTGTTTTTAGACACCTACATCCTAACCACCCTGAAAATCCTCAAACTGCTACCAAGTTTTTCAGCTTTTACAGATCACCTACATAAAAGAAAGAGAAACCAAACCTTCTAAACCAAAGACATTACAACCTACAGTTAAATCTCTCTCTTTGTGAACCCAACTGTTACAAAATGAATGGGAGCCTATCTCCCTGTTCTAAAGATGCTCCCACTAGCCAAGAGAGGCGCTCTTTAACTAAGGGATTATCTAAAGAAGAAATAAAAGTTTCTAAAAACAACAGAAAGGCAAGCTTTCTTTATGAGGGTCAGACAAAACTCCAATCTGGTCTTTCCAGTTGATCTGGACAAGTAGAAGCAAGAATTATCTCTTGCCTTCTATCATTCCTGGAAGGTTGATTGACAATCATTTACCCAGAACTTAACTACATTTCATGGTTGCTTTGATCACTGAATCTCACACCTCAACATCTCAGCAAACATCTCCTTGCTTGACAGCCCCTAACCATGTACTGTAATAGGAATTGGAATTGGAATTGATGACATTAGCCAGGTGTACCTAGATTTTTTAAAACACTTACATAGTCACAATAGTGTAGTGAATGGGGATTTTAATTTTCTGTAACAATCAGAAATTATAGCAGTATATTTTGAGAGTACTTGTAGACTTTTAGGAACTAATCAAACATCATAATCTATAGTCTCACACGTATTCTAACCAAACAATATACAATTTATTAATATAATTATAATTTGCATAACAAAAAATAAGCATAATAGAACATATCTGAGACGTAATCTGCTTTGATATCAATGGCTATTAGTGGACTAACAGTTATAGTATACAAAATAGATGTTACAATATTGTAGTCAAAAGTGTTAAATAGGATTTTTTAAAAATTAAATTGTATCTTTTTGGAAGAACTGATGATTCAGTGTAGAATTTACTTATACTTATGGAGTATCAATGCTCTAAAACCACAGTGAGGAAGACCTAGTAATTTCTGAGCCTAGTAATTCTCTCTGGAGTCAGAGAATAGAATTCCTGGTCTTGGGGAATCTAAAGCTTTGTTCTGCCCAGACCTCATTCCCTCATCATTAATCAGCTGCTGATCACTTTAAATCAATTTGGCTATCTGATTGGCTAGGTGTGTCAGTAGGTGGGTTTCAATGACACTCTGATCTTTGTGATCTAACTTTGTACAATTCAGGTCACTCAGCCTTTATTGGCTGTTATTGATCCTTGTAGGACATGACAGAGTGAAGCTACCGCTACTGCAAAATGCCTGATTCCCCCCTGTCTTGGATGACAGTGCAACAGAGATGGATTACTGGAGGTTATCTTTCCCATCCCTGAACTAC